TTGGGCAGCCGGGCAACAACCCCGACGCCATTATCAGCCAAGGCTACGAGCTCCGTAGCCGAGGACCCGCTGTCTTGGGCATTGACGCCCTTGACACTTAGATACATTACTTTTGCTATGCATCTATATACCCAGTGTATATCTAAATACATAACAAAAACAATACATTTAAAAAGATAAAACATCTTATAATTTGGTACGGAGGGAGTAATAGTATCAAAATTTATGACTTCATATAGGTATATTATTATGAACATAGCTGCATGACGAATCTAATGCTACCTATTTAGTAGGATGAATATTAGCACTTTTAATATAAATTTGGGTTAAACTTAACATACTTTACAGTGTAGTAGTACACCAAATCAGCACTCGTCAGGATAAGTCCGATTGCAAATTTGGGACTAGAGAGCATGGCAGCCGGCCTGTAGAGCTCCAAGCCAGCAACGTGAGTTTGAAAGTCACGCGCATGTCCATACACTGGGCAAGGAGTCATTGTATGTGCATGCTGCTATAGTTAATAGTTCTTCCGCGGCCAAGATCAAGAGAGAAGTGCACCATGTAACGTTTGGGACTCCAGACTATCTATTGAATCGCTAGAAGTTTTTCTGGACCAAGGGGGGGCCACAGCCCAGGTTGGCCGAGCTTGAGCTCCGCCAGTGGTTATCAGTAACTGTAAAGCTGTCAGTCTGTCACTTGTTGCTAGTTACAGTCAAATCACACAGAATAATTTTCATCTTTGATTCCATTCAGATAATAATTCTTTACTAAAGCAACTGCTTAAAACAATATGTTTTGACCAATGGTCCAATTAGTCTGTTGTTCCTGTTATTACCTAACAACTGCTTTAATGAATATATCTTTCCACCCATCCTTACATACTTTTCTGAATGTATAGTCCAGTCAACAAATTGTAGTGTACCTCTGATTTGGCGTTCAATTTTATGGCTTGATAGGTGATCTTTGTTGTGGCATAATTTGTTTAGAAGCGTTTTATTTAAATGTTTTTTTAAATCCTTTTGAAATTTCAGATGGGATCAGTTCAAGCAGAACATGCAGGAAATACTGCATCACAGCGACATGAAGAGCATTGCATTCAGGAAACCAAACGATTCGGTGTACACATTCCCAATGCCTGATTGCATGTGTCAGCAAGATGGGATGATATAGGCCTGACAGCATAAATACGAGGCAAATCCTTTTGTGTTTTGGTTTTGAGACTAATACCACACAGATAGGTTGGCGTAGGCAGGTATCTTGTACATTCATAACCTGTAGGTAGTGTCACCATATGCTAGCAAGATTGACCAGGGATTCGCTGATTCATGTTGGTTCCACTATTCTAGGGTGGTCTGTAGAGGAGATACAGTTGGGGGTTGGGTTGGGCCGTGGATGTTAAATTCCAGCACACTTGACTTGAGAGAGGGCTTCTGACAAAGTGAGACCTTCTTGATTGTATATGTAAAGGGGACGCCTAACTACAAAGGGAAACAAAAACTTACTGATATAATATACCATGGAATTTACTTATTCTTACATTACACTTCATCTTGTTCCTGGAATCTTGGCAGTTCCCTGTTTTGTTTCTGCAGATGCTGCTCTTGGGCAACGGCTCATCATATTAACTTGAGTAATTGTTGTTATATTTCACGGTACAGGATTCTGTATTGTACTGCTGCTTCCTAGTTTTGAGACAAGTGGATGAATTTTCGTTATGAAAATTCTGAGGTTTCCCCTCCACGTCTTATATATAGCCATAGGTATCAATTCAATAGAGGAGGGGGAGGAAACAAACTGTCTTTTCTCTGAATGACATCGTCTTCCTCTGCACTCCGCAGACATATTACGTTTATCCCGTCTGATGTAAATTCAGACACTTTGAGGCCATAAGAGCTGCCATCTGCACTCAATTTGAACCGAAAGTACATACAGACCGTAGAATTTGCTTCAATCTGAAGACACGGGAACCGCCAACACATCTCATATGCCATTTTTTTTGAAGAACAACAGAAACATACCAAGATGAGAGGTGGAAAATCTAATACAAATGTAGAAGTTTGAAAGCTTCAACGAGTTTGGTATAGCACAAAACGTCAAAACTAAAAATGATCCGCGAGCGCAATAGATGAATGATATGACAATACACAGCAGTAGAGTCCACGACGAGATGTGCGGCCGAACTCACTGACCCTCCTCGTTCCGTCCAAGTCCAACCACCCTTTTCGCAGAACAGGGTTCAGACCAGGGGAGACGGATCTCAAGTTCACCATGTTTTCATTTTTATCTCCTCTACCTTAATGCGAATTCCAAGTGTTGACAGTTCATTAAATCTCGTTTCTTTGTTCTGCTTTCAAAGGAGTTGGGAGGCTCTGGAACTGCGATCAGCCAACCATGATCAGCTGCCGGCTGCCGCGACGACGTCGAGGCCCAATGCAATCTGTGTCCATCCACACCTTGACTTGCAGAGCTGCAGCAGTTGCTGCTCCTCATGGGTGCAGCAAGTGCAATTCAATGCCTGCCAGGAGTCAGAGCTGGAGGAGGAGAACCCTCCATCTCCATGTGCTCTCAATACAACATCAATAGGCCCTTGTTTAGATACCATCCAAATTCCAAGCTTTTTCACTCTCTTTTTATCACATCAATTTTTAGCTGCTTGCATGGAGTATTAAATGTAGGTAAAAAAAATAACTAATTACACAGTTTAGTTGAAAATCACGAGATAAATCTTTTGAGCCTAGTTGATCCACGATTGGACAATATTTGCCAAATAAGACGAAAATGGTACTATTCATCGGGTTGAAAAAAGTTGCAATCTAAACAAGTCCTAGATATAGGATCAGGTAGTATATTACTCTGCTGCTACAAGAAGAAGGTGGTGGTGGTTCAGTTGAGCCCATGTCCCATTGCCTCCGTCGCTGCCATCTCAGCGGCTTTTCCGATTTACTTGTTCTTGCACTTGATCAAGCATTTTGCTTGGAAAAGAAATCTTGTGTTTTGTTTCTCTCAACCGTTAAAGGACCACTGGACGCGTGCATGCATACCAGTGGCGGGTCGTGAAGTGTTTAGTATTTGTTGCCCCGTGTTTCATTTTCATCTTCCATAGCTTTCAGAGTTTCAGCACGGATATACAATGTATATGTATCATGTGCTTTCGCCTCTCCGTAAAGCTAACGTGGCCGCTCCAATGTAAATTCTGACATTATTTTCAACGCATATATATATACTAGTATAAGAGACCACCAAAGAGACAGGCCGATCTGGACTCGTCTCATGAGTCATCATTGTGTAAAACAGGAGTGACCCGGAATGCATGAAAAGGAGGCACACGACGCAGATTCGGCACACCGTCCTGCGTTTGCCGTAGACAAGACGACATCTCTCGAGTGGTTCCAAGTATTGTCGTCGAAGATCTGAATGTGCTGCAATCTTAGGGGCCCTTTAGCACGGCTTATCGAGCAGCTTCTAGAGCGGCTTTTGATGAAGCCGTGCCAAACGCTCGAGCCCAAAACAGCTTGCGACCGAGAGCCAGCAAAAGCCTCACAAAATGCGGTGAGACAGTTCCTCCGCCCGCCAGAAGCCAAAAAATGTGGCTTATTCCGGCTCCTCCTCTACACTTTCCATCCTTGTCTCCGGCTTGCTCTCCTCCCCGCCGCCGCGCGCCGACGGCCGCCGTCGCGCCGGCCTCAATCTCCGCCCCGCGTGGCTTCTCCCTGCACCGCTCCGCCGGCCTCGAGCTCCGCCCCACCGCCGGCTCCCTGCTCCGCCCCGCCGGCCTCGAGCTCCAGCTCCGCCCCATTGCTGGCCCCTCCCTGCTCCGCCCCACCGCCGGCCTCGAGCTCCCCCGCCAGCCTCCTGCTACGCCCAAGAGAGAGAGAGAGAGAGAGGAGAGGGAGGGAGTGGGTGACAGGATAAGGAGCGTGGCCGTTTGGATAAGGAGAAGAAAAGAAGGGGAGAAGGAAAGAAAAAGAAAAAGAAAAAAGAAAAAGAAAAGAAAAATGAAGAGAAAAGAGAAAAAAGAAAATAGAGAAAAAATATAAGGGTATTTTGGACATTTGACATCTTCTTTACAACTAGGAGAAACCGTTTTGCCAAACGTTTTCGTACAAATAAGCCAAAGCCAGAAAAAACTACTTTTCCATAAGAGCCAGAGCCAGATCTATTTTTTCACGAGCCAAAGCCGTGCCAAACGAAGCCTCAGAAGCTCCGGGTCCTCCCGGCCTACGTGCTACAGTGGGCTGTGGCGCGAGGGGCATGCAGGCTTTTCTGTGGCAACAGTAACATAATAGTATAAGATACAGTGCAATGCACTGTTCCAAACAAAAGATGCATGCAGGCTTCTCAAAAGCATAACGAGAAAGAAATGGCCGGCGGAAGCCCATCACATCTCACATTCTCATTGCTTCTGTTACACCAGCATGCTGGTTAGCTTTTTAAACTGAAAGTTTGAGACTGTATTACAATTTGATACCGGATCGAAAATTTGCGCCGAATGATACAGTTAGTTAACTACAAGGGTGAATGTGGAATGTTGGGTGCTTCGTTAACTGACAGGTTGCTATGGCAGTGAATGGCATAACACGGTTACATTTACACCATGTTCGAGGGAGGAGCTGCAAGTCAACAACTGAGCAAGAGATTGCAGACACATTCTGCTAAGGGCCGGTTTGGATGTCAAAATTTTTGGCAAAACGCGTGTTTTCGTTCTTATTTGGTAATTAGTGTCCAATTATAGTTTAATTAGGCTTAAAAGATTCGTCTCGTGGATTTCGTCTAAACTATGTAAATAGTTTTATTTTTTATTTATATTTAATGCTTCATGCATGCGTCCAAATATTCGATGTAACGGAGAATCTTAAAAAATTTAGCATTTTGGGGTGCAACTAAACTGTTTTACAGGCTACGAACTGCAAACCGAAACGAAAACAAAAGCTTTGGGTTTCAGTCTCTCTCGTCTTTCTTAGGAGTTAGCACTACCCACTACTACAGTTTTCGACGTCGGATCAACAAGAAGCTGAGGCTCCTCCTTCTTCCTGCTCCTCGTGGCCTGCTCCTCCTCCGACGAGCAGCTCCATCTGGTCGTCGAGGTACTGCTGCAGCAGCCTGAGCCGGCCTCCGCCGGTGGCGTCCACCATCGTGATCTCCTCCGTCCCGCGGTCGCCGCCTTCGTCACCGTCCCAGCAGCCACGCGACGATCTCCTGGCGGCCACCACCAGCTTCCTCCTGACCCTGAGGAAGCGGACGGCGGCGACGGCGCAGCAGAGCAGCGGCAGCCAGAGGACCGCCAGCGCCAGCACCGCCGGGACCAGCCACAGCGCCACAGCGGCCGCGGCCACCGCCCGCCACGTCGACGTCCGCGGCCCGGCGCCGCCCATCCTTCTCAGCTCCTTCCCGGCCGGAAGAAAACCGACGATCGACGAACCGATCGAGGCTTGTTGCTTTGCTTGCACGGATGGAATGGAAAAAATAATGGAATGGACAGCCACAGCCCTGGGCTTTGCTTCTGAGTAGAGATTTTTTTTTTCTTTCCTTTCTTGGCTTTTCCCTTGTGGCTGCCCTGTGAGGGTTCGAATCGAAGTCGAGTAGCGGCAAAGCTTTCTTTTCTCTCGCAGGCGAGCCGAAGGCGGTGTTGCTTGTGGCAGACGGCGAGACGGAGATGGTTGGGCTTTTCCTTGTTTGCTCGATGCCCCTCCCTCCCTCCCGCCTTTAAATTTGACGCGTCGCCGTCTTGGGATCTTCTTGCTTTTCTTGCAGAGGAGAAGGGATCGATCGCGGACATGGGCACGCCATCTGATTTCATCCTACTTTAGCCGGCCGTCGTGATATTTATTTATGCTCCACATCCATATTTTGTAGAGCTCTAATGTCACTCCGGTCCGTCATGATATTTATTTATGCTTCTCAAGAGTAACGATGGTCCCTCTCTCAACTGTTCAAGGACCACTGGACGCATGCATCCATACCAGTAGCGGGTCATAAGTGTTTAATATTTGTTGCCCGTATTTCACTTTCATCATATATACGGGCTCTGTACTGTACAAGTGTTTAGCAGCTTTCAGAGTTTCAGTCCGGATATATGATGCATATGGACCCATTCGCTTCGCCGAAGAAACAAGCCGAAACATTGTTGCGGCTGAAAAAATAAACTGAAAAAAGCGGATTATAAGAAAAGCAAACAGAACTTATGTATTATGTACTTTCGCTCTCCTTAAAGCTAATTAACATGGCCGCTTCAGTGTAAGTCCTGACATTTTCAACGCATCATTACGTAAAACATGGCACAGCTGCGTTTTAATTTTCACATACAAGAAAAAGATAAGGGCGCAAATTAAAGGCGCAGCGTGAAGAAAGAATACCAAAATTCAACGCGGCGAAGCAGTGCTTCATCACTTTCAGATAGTGTGGTTGCTGGCTGGCCGGTTGGCAAAGGACTAGAGGTCGGTCGTCAGTCGATCGGTGGCCATCACCTACCCTACCTTTGATGAATGAATGTGAACACTGATGTGACAAAATGCATGCATGGTTTGGAATCAGTTGGCGCCGCGTTGCTCCTGTCCTCCGCACCGCCCACTTTTGTGCGCAGCGTGACCCGGAATGCATGAAAAGTAGGCACACTGCAAGAGATATACCGCCATACCGCACTGACACAGTGACCAGGGACGGATTAGCATGGATGTTTAGGGGGGCTCAAGTTCAACGTTTAACGAATGCACGAACTGTGCCTGTTATAATTCTGAAGCAAGCATCCATATGCTTAAAGCATCCTATGTTTATACTGTAGCAACAACCAATATCCATTTGTATATATGCATAAATAAAATAGCTATATTTAACATGTCCCGGAGAATTTAAAAGGCGCTAGGTGGTAGATTGAGCATGAATTAAACTCAAGTTTTTTTTTTTTGCTGCTACCAGGAGCAAGATTTGAAAGGTACTACAGCAAATGAAGGTCAAAATGGTGTGCTTAGATACAAACAAAGACAGCTTTATTAGCCAAATAAAATAAGGTCGTACTTATATTAGAGAAATAATCAAATGAAGAACATGCTCATATATCATCGTATGTGATAACTGAATATAATAAATTCAGAATATGTGATGGATCGATAGTTGCCGCCGCCGCCGCCTCATGAGCCTTCCTCCGATACACCAGTTGCCATAAGTTTGTGAACTTATGGGCCTTGGAAAAAAGGGCCGGATCTTATTGGGCTGGAATTTAGGTCGATTGAGTAGAGAACGGGTTGGCCCATGGACCAAGTCACGGCTGCAGGCTGAAGCGCCGCCGTCCTCAACCTCCCGACGGGCTCAAGCGCCACCGACAGGCTGAAGCCCCTGCTTAGACTGCTTCTCAACGTTCTCAACACAGTCATGACAGAAAAAAAAGGAGGGGCTTAGGGGGGCTCCATGGACTTGCCGGCTCCGCCTCACCGCTAGATCTGTCCCTGCTTACATGGCACACATGTCTGAGCTCTTCTAGTATTGACAAGCTAAAGACACCCTCCTCGGTAGAAGAGGGAGAGGAGACCAGGGCTCCTCCGATGCTGCTTGGTGCTCCATTTGTGAGCAGCCGCTGGGATTTTCTTGGAGATCCCATGAACGATGATCAAGTGGAGGAAGTATGCGAGGGCCTCGGCTGTAGTTTTGGACAGACCGTGTCCTTACGGCCAGCAGCTAACTCCTGTAGGAGCCGCACAGCCACAAGCGCCGCGCCGCTGCGTAAATGCGTAACTCGCCATAAGCTCCATGGAGTTGGCGGCTGTAGGCGGGGCTTGAGCCCCTCCCGTCCCACCGCTAGATACGTCCCTGACAGTGACACTCTACGTCAGTGCAGCTGAAAATTTCATTTCAATCGCTTCCTTCTCTCTCGAGCATTTCACAATTTTTTTTTGACCTTTTGAAATTGGCATGGAGCCTTATATTAAAAAAACAGAGAGATGCGTGGCGACGATTAGGCACCTCTCGAGCGGATCCAAGTATTGTTGGCGAACAAGATCTGCATGCTTCTCATCAAAAGCATCAACGGGAAAGAAAGAAACGGCTGGTTGAAGCCCATATCTCAATCCGCCAATCCGTCCTTTTGTTGCACCAGCAGGTTAGGTTTTTTTTATTTAAAATAAAGTTTGAGACACTATTACAATTCGATACCGGATCCCAAAATTTCGCCGAATTATGCAGTTAGTATGACACTGACAGCGAAATGTCTAACACGGTTACATTTACATCATGTCAGCGGGAAGAGCTGCAAGTCGACAATCGAGGAAGAAATTGCGAACTCATTTTGCTAACTTCCCCTGTTTTACAGGCTACGAACTGCAAGTCTGCAAACCGAAATGAAAAAAAAGGAAAGCTTTGGGTTTCAGTTTTTCTGTCTCTTCTTAACAGTTAGCACACTACTACTGTTTCGCCGTCGGATCAACATCAAGAAGCGGGGGTTCCTTGTTGCTGCTCCTCGTGGCCTCCTCCGACGAGCTCCATCTGGTCGTCGAGGTACTGGTGCAGCAACCGGAGCCGGAGCCGGCCTCCGCCGGCGTCCACCACAGTCGCCTCCTCCGGCCCGCGGTCGTCGCCGTCGCAGCAGCCACGCGATGATCTCCTGCCGGCCACCACCAGCTTCCTCCTGACCCTGAGGAAGCGGACGGCGGCCACGGCGCAGCAGAGCAGCGGCAGCCAGAGGACCGCCAGCGCAAGGACCGCCGGGACCAGCCACAGCGCCACAGCGGCCGCGGCCACCGCCCGCCACGACGACGACGTCGGCAGCGACCCGGCCCCGGCGCCGCCCATCCGATCCTTCCTTCCCGGCCGGAAGAAAACCGACGACGACGTACCCGAGGCTTGTTGCTTTGCTTGCACGGATGAAATGAAACAAAAAAAATTTGGAATGGACAACAGCCCTGGGCTTTGCTTCTGAGCAGGAGTAGAGATTTTTTTTTCTTGGCTTGTGCCCTGTGAGGGGTTCGAATCGAAGTCGAGTAGCGGCAAAGCTTACTTCACTTGAACCAGGGGAAGGGAAGGCGTTGGTTGTGGCAGACGGTTGGGCTTTTCCTTGTTTGCTCGATGCCCCTCCCTCCCTCCCGCCTTTAAATTTGACGCGTCGCCGTCTTGGGATCTTCTTGCTTTTCTTGCAGAGGAGAAGGGGTCGATCGCGGACATGGGCACGCCATCTGATTTCATCCTCCTTTAGCCGGCTCGTCATGATATTTATTTATGCTCCACATCCATATTTCTCTAGAGTTGTAATAGTAGGTGCTGGCCTGCTGATGCTCCCTCCCTCCCGTCATATTCATCATATCCTAACGTCTCATCTTTAAGATCTCACTCCGGTCCCCGCTGTATCTGCGGTTATCTGAGAATGAAGGGATTACTCGGGCGGAGCCAGAAAAGGATACAAAGGAGGCGCTGAGCTAGACAAGGGAGGGTAAAGTAATTGAAACTACCAGTAGGGGTTCAAGCCCCTCCAGTTTCAGAAAAAAGCTAATTGAAACTAGATTACATTTTGATTTTAGAGGAATATTTTTTTTCCTAGCATTAGTGCATTATATGAGGTTCTAGAGACAAGGCCGGAACCCATCCAAACTAAAGAACTAACATATCATGATCCATTGCCTAGTTTCTTTGTCGATCACACCACTCTAGCTTAGGACATCCACAATGTTGAGGAAAGGGGTATACTTAACGAGAATTTAATGCTGCAATAATCAGATACCTAGCCATTAGCCAGTGTGGATGATATATAAGAGCATCTCCAGGAGTCTTTCTAAATCTCACTCTCTAAATCATCATTTGGAGAGCCATTTCTATAAAAATCGTTTTCTATATCTTTTCACTCTCCAACAGCTTTTCTATATCTCGTGCGCACTCTAGAGAGCCATTCTCGTCTTCTATTTTTGGCTAGTGAAAAATCTAGAATAGAAGATGGCTATATTTGCATAACCATTTAAACAATCTGTTGGAGGGTAATTTTCACCAAAATATCTATTCCTAGCATTTAGGAAGGATATAGAGAGTCTCTTGAAGTTGCTAAGACAGATTTTGTGGGGGCTGGTGCTATTATTTGGGCAATTTGGTGTACTCGTAATGACATTGTTTTTGAGAAAAAACAAACTTTTTTTTTGTCACCAAATAAGCTAACAACATTGTAAGACTTGGTTGCGTGCGATCGCAGAAGCCAGATTATAAAGAGGAAACAGAGATAAAAGGATAATAAAATAAGTCTTTCATAACTTATTTTTTCGGATCATGCGGATAACTTATTTTTTCGGATCATGGGCAACTAACCCGCAGCCACATGGGAACCGGCAAACACCACCACCACTCCGTTGCCCCCTGTGCACCTGTGCCGGGAAGAAAACAACGTGGGTGCTTTTGGCGGTCCCCTGGGCCTTCCGAATCCTTCAAGCCCAAAGTCCTCTGGGCCGCCTTATCTTTGGGCCATGGCCCATGAGAAGGTCAGAAGCAGGCGGGTCGCAGTACACTACACCCCTCTCTCCTCGTCTTCATATTCATATTATAATTGCTTGCGCCGATATGATGATGTGCATGGGGGGTCCGTGTATAATGACGGGACGTATCTATAGATAGCCCATATATAGGCGGCGTATGAAGACAGTGTATGTATGTAGAGACAGCGAAATATTAGGCTATGTTCGACGGGTCTATAAGCCGTTTGTGCTGATTTGTATGGCTAATTTGTTAAAAGAGAAAAATAGTGTACCATGACTGATAAGCCGGCTTATCATGGTAGACTTAGCCGATCGATACACGTGCCTACTGTTCCACCGTTATCTCATTGTTTTTCGATTTCTTGAGTCGGAGTGTTTCGGTTCTCCTTTTCCGCGATAAGAGCCGTTGCAGCTGTAAGATGTTCCAGTCGGCCATCGTAGGCTACATATATACCCCCTTCGTCTTCATTCCTCATCGCCTTGATTCTGGCCTTGACGTAATTTAACGATATATATGCCGGTCGTGATTAATTCTGAGTGCCAAGATTTCATCGTCCTGGGAAAGTCGGATAGGATAGAATTATTTCTCAGGCTTATCCATATCACCATTAGCCTCTTGACATTTGGCTAAACAAATTAAGTCATCAAGGCAAGAGACAAGCCTTTTTGATCGAATCAGACGTGACCAAAAAGTCTTAGCTACAAGACCAGCATTTTTTTATTGGTGTTAATTTGTTGTTCCCGACGCAACAATCTAGGTTGCTAAACGACCATCCAACGCGCGTTGGAATGTGTCATGAACTTAATTAATTTGGACACCATGTGGACATGATTCAAGTCCACTTACTTTTGATTCCGGAGCTCCCGTACTTTTGATAAGGCCCACTTTTCCAAGCTCAACACAAACAAGAGCTTGTTGCCCACCCATGTTAGTACGTACTGTCTTGTACTGTGGCTTGTTTGTCACACAAATCACAAAATGCTAACTATGTGGGCCAGCAGAGGGCAGCATGTGTCCAAACGAAAGAGCAACATGAGTTGGAAACTGTTGGTATATATGATATGATGATCATGCAAGGGATGGGAATCGGTTGCATATATTATTGGATAGTGACGCCGTCGTTTCTGATGTCCCAACGGGATGTCATATGTGGTCGAGTAATCTTATTACCCTGATATATGCTCATATATATCTATAGTGCTTTATTAAAAACAAAACTAACTTTAACAATACCATGCATGGCTTTCAAACTACTTGGCACATTCGTTCAGCATCTCCAATATTTCAAACACCAACTATTTTGCAAAGCTATGGAGGAACTGGCCGGCATATATATAATTCTATATATGCAGTCATTCTTACCTACCAAGTCAAGTAGTAACATGCGCCCACATGAACCAACCTTCATCCATTCAGGATATATATTTATTTATGATATATCCATCGACCAACCTTGGCGATTTGTCATTGCATGCTGCCTTTGTACAAGACTTTTGTCAGAAAGGGAGGGTGCATGGTAAGTTGGTAACGGATCAGACGAATCATGGAACGGAGAAGTGCCGAGAGACGTGCGTGCATGCGCGCGCAAAGAAGACGATGCGCAATCGCCACGCCATGGACGTCGACGACGGGTCCAACGACCGCCAGTCCCGATCCACCCACGTGCTACTGGCGATACAGAGCAGAACAACCCCCCTCCTGCTGCTGCTGCGAGCGAGCGGCAACGACAGAAAACATGTTAACCGTGACGTCTAGTGAGGGTGAATTAGACAACTTAAAATTCTACTTCTAAATTATGGTCTTTTCTTCTAACCTTAGCAAAATCTAAGTAAAAGATAAACTATCTAAATATACAACTACGATTTTGCTAGTGTGTTGCTATCTCTACCGCAAACGGAGTAATATAAATAATGTAAATGCTAAAGTTAAAGAATAAGGTAGAGATATGCAAAATCCCGTCGACGACTTCGGTATTTTTACCGAGGTATCGAGAAGCGCGCAATCTTCGCCCTGGTCCTCGTTGGAGCCCCTCGCAAGGAATCTCTCGCAAGGACCAAGCTCCCGGTCGGGTAACTTATTAGATAGCCTCAAGCCTTCCCCACGCGCAAGTGGGTCTCCGACGTGCCTTCCGGCAAGCCTCTCTCGGATGCTCCTCGCCGTCTTCACTATCAAGCTTCCGGCCGAACCGCCGTGGGCCTTGTTTCCTTCGGTACACGGTGGCGGCCACACCACAAATCCGGTTGGTGTGATCTCGCAAGACTACAAGCCCCTCTGATGTACAACAATGGTGCGCGCAAGCACCGAGTGGTAAGAGGTATGCAAACCTCACTAAACACTATGCCTAAAGCTAAAGCAAACGTATAAGCGGTGGTCTAATCAACCTAAGCACTTCACAAAGCACCTATGCTAATCACCTAATGAATCACTAAGCACTATGCAAGTGGAGATCACTAAAATAGTGTATCAACACCCTTAATATGTTTCCTTAGGTCTCTCTCACTCAAATGGCTGGTTGGGGGGTCTATTTATAAGCCTCACTAAGAAAATAGCCGTTGGGGATAAAATCTTGTTTTTCTGCAACTGACCGGATGCTGCTTTCATCCTGACCGGACGTGTCCGGTCGTACCGACTATTAGAGCTGCAATCAACTGATTGGACGCCATCAGCGTCCGGTCACATGCCATCGGACGCGTTCGGTCGCATTTTCGCTGCTCTGGAACCTCTCTGTACTCGATCAGACGCTGTAGTTTTGTGTCCGGTCAATTTGTCGCCAGCGTCCGGTCAATGCTGAATGTGTTGCCGGGATGATGAACAGTGCCATCGGTGCGTCCGGTCACTTTACTGTTCAACGTCCGGTTGCTGCTGCCGAGCCTCTTGATCGGGGCGTCCGGTCGCTGTAAGACCAGCGTCCGGTCACCACTGTGAGCTTGTTTCTTCGCGATCTTGCGTTCGGCTTGGTTCCTATCTTCGTGCTTGGACTTTGCTTGATATCTTGGGTCTTCTCTTGTGCTTCTAAGGTCTTACTTATGGTGTTGATCATCGGATCATCACGTCGCCTTCGTCCAAGTCACGTCTTGCACCCTTTTGAACTACAAAATAATCACTTGCAAATTTATTAGACCAATTTAGTTGTGTTGGTCATCAAACACCAAAATCCAAAGTAAATGGGCCTATGGTCTATTTTCCTTACAATCTTCCCCTTTTGGTGATTGATGACAATACGACCAAAGAAAGCAAATGATAAAAAATTTGGAATTTTAAAAACTATCTACTCGCTAGGATGCAATGCAAAGGGCAATGTTATATGATGCTAAAGGTACCACTTCTAAGACTAAAAGATA